TTAGAGGCATGCAGCGTAAAGGCTTCAGGGGGTGGAGTAGTCGCTACCTCAGTACAAAAAGGTAAGGCGACCGGTAGACGTCGTGGAGGTTCCCGGTCTAGGAGTCAGGTAGACCCCAATGCTCCTCTATGGGAGAAAGCGGGTCTAACAGAGGACGTGTGGAGATATCGGTACACCCGACAGGCTTGTATCCGTTGTGGCCAGTATGGCCATAATCAGTTCAAGTGCTATAACAAAAAGGTGATCGAGAAGATTCCGCCTACGATGGGGCGGGCGTTGGGATCCTCCGCTCTCGTTGGTAGCAATGTGGCCAGCAGTTCTGGCTATGCTCAGGGATATGCGTTGGGCCACTAGGAATAGTAGTTGTTCCTGCGAGGGTCGAGGTAGTGAACACACCCTCACCATCTCGAGAGATGGGCCAAGCTACTGACTCCGTTGTCGTCCCGCAAACACATCCAGACCCATCTAGCCTCTGTTCGATGAATGTGTTTGAGTCCTTGGAGGAGCTAGAGAAGGAGTGGTATAAATCAGACCCGCTAGCTTCTTGGACAACATTGGCTAAAGCCCCTAAGAGTGAGATGTTCGTCGGCGAGGTAGTCATTGGCGGCCACAAGGCCGAAGCCTATTATGACACTTGTTCGACGCGTAACTTCATTAGTCGCGCGTGCGTTGAGAGGCTGCGCTTACAGGGGCAAGCACAACGCCTGAGTCGACCTGTGGAGTCGACTAGTGCCAACAAACGGTGCATGGTAGTCAATGACTACCTCAAAGACGTCGAGTGTCTTTTCCCATACGCGGGAGGTGAACGGAGACATCGCGTTTTGTTCCTAGTCAGCGATGATCTCCCAATGGACATCTTGTTGGGTATTACTATCTTTCGGTTGCACAGCCCCAGTTTGACTGGGACCGGACAGTGGTCAAACACACTTTGCCCGGTGGGGGGACCGCCAGATTACGTAAGTTTAAGGCTAGTAGTCTGATCGAGTCCTACGAACGCATGTGTGCGGCCGCATTCTATAATTATTTATAAGCAAAATCCGGAGGAGGGTATGTATCTAGTTTATGTTTGTGCAGCGGGCGAGCCGGTGAAAATGCCGCCGGAGATAGAGGGAGTTGTGGCTAAATACCCTGATCTATTTGAAGAGCCGAAAGAGGTTGTTGAGAGGGAGGTTGTCCACGCGATAGAGATTATCCCAGGGTCTAGCATTCCAAAGGGTAGGATCTATCGGATGTCTCCAGGCGAGCTTGATGAGCTTCGCCGATAGCTCAAGGAACTCGTAGAGAATGGTTGGATCCGGCCGAGTGTCTCCCCTTACGGATCACCTGTCTTATTTGTACCAAAGAAGGGGGGAACTTTGAGGATGTGCATTGACTATAGGGGTCTCAATGCCATCACTGTCAAGAACCGAGAGCCCCTACCGCGCATCGATGACTTGTTGGACCGAGTGCAAGGGTAAATCTGAAATCCGGGTACCATCAAATTGCCATATGTCCCGAGGATTAACACAAAACCGCTTTTCAGACCAGGTACGGTCCGTATGAGTTTGCGGTGATGCCTTCCGGCCTTTGCAATGCTCCTGGCACCTTTCAGCACGCAATGAATCAGATCTTTCATGACTACTTGGATAAGTTTGTCATTGTGTACCTTGATGAGATACTTATCTTTAGTAGGACTATTGAGGAGCACGTTGGTCATTTAGACAAAGTCCTTAGTCTCCTTCGGCAGCACAAGTTCAAGATCAACGACGAGAAGCGCGAGTTTGGCCGCACCCGTATCTTGTACTTGGGTCATGAGATTTCCGCAGAGGGCTTGAAGCCCGATGACGCGAAGGTGGCCAGCATTCGTGACTGGCCGCGGCCTCAGTCTGTGACTAAGATAAGGTCCTTCTTGGGGATGACCGGCTACTACCGCAACTTCGTCAAGAACTATAGTGTAGTGGCCGCCACTTTGACGGACCTGACCCGCCTTGACACCCCATGGGAGTGGACAGACAGGTGTGAGGCTGCTTTCAAACACCTTAAGCATGCCCTGACACACTATGAGGTCTTGAAACTTCCTGATCCTGACAAACCGTTTATAGTCACCACGGATGCTAGCCAATATGGCATAGGCGTCGTGCTCGTGCAGCAGGAGGGGCCAAAGTTGAGGCTTGTTGAGTACATGTCCAAAAAGATGCCCTCTCAGAAGTTGGCAAAGTCCACCTATTAGAAGGATCTCTATGCGATCTATAAAGCGCTAACCCACTGGAGGCATTACCTCCTTGGTCGGTTTTTCTACGCCAGGACTGATCATCAGACCCTGAAGTGGATGAGAACCCAGCCTGTGCTCTCCGATTCGCTGAAACGCTGGATCGAAGTCATTGAGCAATATGACTTCGAGCCCCAATACCTCAAAGGTGAGTACAACAAAGTTGTTGATGCACTATCGCGTAGGCCAAATTTGTCCGGTGCGCTGATCACTGAGTTTGGGCTTGCGGACGATGTTACTCGCTTTTTGGTGGAAGCCTATCGCGAGGATCCGTTTATGGCTGAGATCATACGCAGACTTGAGACGAAGGACAAAACAACTTCTGCCGAGTTTGAGTTGGTCAATGACCTACTGTTCCTTGAGAAGGCTGGGAATAAACGTCTGTGTGTGCCTAACCGTGAGTCTTTGCATAGTTTATTTTTAGGCGAGTGTCATGATGCCACATGACATTTTGGGTATAAGAAGACTGCGGTCAATTTGCTGCAGCAGTTCTGGTGGCCCACGATGATGAGAGATGCCAAGCTATACGTGGAGACTTGTCAAGTATGTCAGAGGGGCAAGCCACGTACACAGGCCCCTCTTGGGCTTCTTAAGCCCCTTCCGATCCCGGAAAGGCCTGGTGAGAGCCTGTCCATGGATTTCATGGAAACACTGGTCACCAGCGAGAGTGGAATGAGACACATATTTGTCATTGTGGATAGGCTTAGTAAATATGCTAGATTAGTGGCAATGCCTGAAACAGCAAAAGCGGAGTATGTAATTAGACTCTTCAAGGAGAACTGGGTTAGCGACTTTGGGCTTCCTAAGTCTATTGTTAGTGACAGGGATGTCAGATTCACAAGTGAGTTGTGGAAGGCTGCAGCTGCAGAACAGGGTACACAGCTGCAGATGACCTCCGGGAACCACCCAGAGGCAAACGGCCAAGCAGAGCAGCTGAACCGCGCTATACAACACCTGTTACGGCACTACATCAAGCCCAATCAGGTGGACTGGGATGAGAAACTTGCTCTCATCACCAGCCTGTACAACAGCGCTGTGCACAGTGCCACCGGGGTGAGCCCTAACAGTCTGCTACTGACTTTCAAGCCTAGACTACCACTGAACTTCCTATTACCTGAGAACCAGCCGACTGCTGCACCTGGCACACTAGACTTTGCCTATTGATATGAACAACTGATGCAGCAGGCGGTAGAACAGATGCACAGGGCACAGACGACGATGATAGAGACTGAGAATAAGCACCGCCGCCCATCTACATTCCAGATAGGGGACAGAGTTTGGGTTAAGTCCTCAGAACTGGGTCAGGAGCACGGGATCTCCCGCAAGCTCATGCCACAGTACTTTGGACCCTGGGAGGTACTAGATATCGTTTGGGATGATCCGGATGGGCCTTCATATGTAGTTCAGATCCCTGGTCACCTTCGCACTTACCCAGTCTTCCACGCCTCCAAGCTCGCACCTTTCAGGGAAACTGACCAGTTTCCTTCTTGTCGCTCAATGCTGCCCCCAACCATGGATGGAGAGGTCGACATCGATGACATCGTGGATCATAGAGAAATGCCAGTTCCAAGGCCTACAGGCAGAGGACGACCTCCGAAACCGAAGCTGCAGTATCGCATTCGGTTCAGACATCACACTGATCCTAAGGAGGATATATGGTTTACACGAGAGGAACTGATGCAGACCGCCCCACAAGTGGTCGTCCACTACAAGAAGTTACTGCAGAAAGGAAAGTGCCAAATTCAATGAACTTCTCAGAGGACTAACGAAGTATGGAGGAGGGAATGCAAGGCACAAGGCCTCGATATGCCCTACAGGGCCTATTTTCAACAGAGTCGGCCACCCTAAGTGAAGGCAGGCTCGACCGAGGCCTACAGGCCATTTTGCGGTCACCACGCAACTGGGGAAATTCAGGCAGTTGCGCAGTGCCAGTTGGTTGGAAGCGCGCAGGCCCAGGCTGCCTTTCATCGTATGTAACTGAGGCAGGCCCTGGGCCGGATACACAACGTGGACCGAACAAAGGCTGAAGGCAGCTGGGTGCTGGTAACCACCACAGGCCCTGGGCCTGTTTCCTTTGGACTGAGGCTCAGCCTCGTGGAGCCTACCGGAAGCTTCTGGGCCGGGGCCCAGTACCGCATTACCGCACGCAGCAGCAGGCCACTTCGATATAGGGAAGCATTGGTCATTCGGGCACTGGCTGCATGCTGCGCTAACGCTGGCCAGCGCTCACGCGCTCAAGGGCGAGCTGGGAGGAGCAGGCAGCCATAGCCGAGCTGCGCTGCTGTATGCTGGATGGGGCGCATGGTGGTCCTTGGGTGCATGTGGCATTGTTGTGAGTGATACGAGAGACATACCTGGTGCTTGAGGTGAACAGTGTTGGCTGAGATCTGCTCGTACTTCGGGGAGCTGTTGACGTCATCAGCGGCATTGTAGATAGGCTAGATAGGGCCATTTGTAGTCTGGTAGGATATCGACATTGGTTCTTCGTTGATGATGATGAGACTATTCCAGCATTGTCAATTATGAGCTTTTGCTGTGCACTTATTTGGTGGAACTCGTGATGCAATTCCGCTATTGGTTCGGGGTCACGACTATCTGGTCTCATGTGTATGATGCTGTCTGATTTCTGAAGTTCACTATCGCTCATTTTCCTTGCAGTATTGTGATTTCTCGTGAATTTGTGCTTTGAAATTCGTCAGGATCGTAACAAAAGTCGAATTATACAATTTGATAATTTCATATTACCATTCACTTTTGCATTTGGAACATCTTTGTGTGGCTGGCTGACCACAGGATGTGCACTTGGGAGCTTCCATCATTTCCTGCGCGCACACTCGACAGTGAAACAAAGCACATAATATACAACATAAAAAAAAATATTAAAAATGTTATCCAATAAATCATTGCAAAGTATTTTTCACAGAGTTGTATTATTAGAGTTTACAAATCAACGAGTAAATTGCAGAGGATGTGCACTTGGGAGCTTTTTTCCATCATGTTCTGCACATACTCGAGAGTGAAACATAACATATAGCATATAATATAATATAATACTAGCTCAGTGCCCATAGTGCGGGTGGTGAGGGCTACGCCCGCAAAAACAAAAATACGTAAAACATAACGCGAATTGCTCACACTGACTCAAATGGACCTACATTCTAAAACAAACTGAATACGTACTCAAAACAGACTCCATACACGACACATACACGAGTACACGTACTCCCGTACGTGGGAATACGTAAAAAATAAAAAATAAAATCTAAAAAAAAA